CCTGAGAAGAGATAACAAATTCCTAATAGTCATAAACTGTAAGACTGAATTCAGAATACCCCAATTTTTTTATTTATTAGAAAACAGAATAAGGAGATAAGGTATGAGGAAAGAAAAATGTGAGAATTAGAGAAGATGTATCAATTCTCTATTTAGACAAAAATCTCATTTAGCCTCCACAGAACCTGTTTACTGTCTCTTCCAGAAGCTTCCTCTTCCCTCAGCTTCTCTCTCTCCCTCCCTCACCAAGAGGGACAGCATACAATCACTTTTTTTTTTTTTGAGAGATTTTCACTGTAGGGCGCGTGCGCTCGCCAGACAGAGAGAGACAGAAAGCGAGAAATCACCCCCCGGGGAGGATGGTCACGCCGCAATCCCTTCTCCTCCATTCTCCTCTTGGGATCTTGGGCACGCACGCACACGCGCCTGGCGTGAGTTTTAAGCCACCGGGTCCGGGACGTGAACCGCGGTCGACTACGTGGGAGTCCAGCGACACAGCCATTACGCTAACTGCTGGTTCCCAGCATACAATCACTTTTGTGGTTAGGGTATTACCTTGGCAAAATCCAAGGACAGTGACATTTTGAGAAAAAGATATTACCTCTCATTTAGAAAAAAAAAAATGTTTTTTTTAAAAAAATTATATTGGAAAATATAATGAGCAAAGGCAATTATCTTTTTGAAGAGCATGTTTGTTAGGTACAAGATCTTGCTATGTCAGGGCCCTTTTCTTTGGTTGCCAGCTACAGACCTAACTATTATTTGTGATTGGAAACATAATGATATAAAAAGTTTATATAGTTCTTGTATCAATTTTAACTAAGCAGAAAACACATCTGACTTGGCACTAGGAATGAGATATATTGTTTAAAGTCAGGATGTTAAGTAACTGGGTGTGCCTTCTGCATTACAGGATGATGGCTGCCTTATTCGATTCTGCTTCACTCTTATGATATTTGATTGATCTTGACATTTGCTGGAGGCATCTTGATGGACTAAACATTCCTAATGCCTGAGAGCAGAAGCTTTTGCCCTGGAACATTCTACAACAGAATCAGTCATGTAAAGCCTCTAGTCCATACCAATGAAGTCAGACTCAGTCTTTGATTGAGTTGCCAAAGAGAAATACCTGAGACTGAGTGATATATAAAGAATAGAGGCTTATTTGACTCACGATTCTGGTGGCTGAAAAGTCCAAAGGCATGAAGCTCACTTTCACAACATTCTGACAGAATAGAGAGGATAGTGGCTATGTGCAGGGAGAGTGGAGTCTGTATATCATGTCAGTTTCTCTCCTTATAAACCCACCAGGAGTGAATTGTAGGGGATGTCACACATTTCCTTCCAAAGGTCCCACCTTTCAACACAATAATTGAATCAAGTTTTCATTCTCTTAATCCTGTCACAGTGGCTCAACACATGAATTTCCAGGGGACACATTTGAATCACAGCAATTGATAATTTTGTTAAGGGCCTCAGTTGATTCCAATGGGTAGCCAGGATTGAGACCCACCTTTATGCTGATAATGCATGTGAAACTAGAGAGCAACGAACTACATGGACGGGGACTTCATGGTGTTTTTGATTTGCTTAGGCTTCTCTTGCCTCCCTTGACATTCCTTTGCCCTGCTGAAATCTACTCAGCCACTGTGTCTGCATCCAATTTCTGTTCCTGAGAATAATCCATCAATTTTGAAAATGAAAATGCTCAAATAGGATATGCTTTACAGCCTGGGATTTTCCAATGATTTAATTATCTAATTACTGGAGCCGGCTGCCAAGCACAAAAGATTTCATTCAGTTTCACTATTTTGCAACACAGTTCAAAGAACATTTGAATTTCTAATTCAATTTTTGTTCTTTTGAGATGATTCTAGAGAGTTTTGCCTATCTCTAATGATAGCTCCATAATTGGACTTATAGGCACTTGGAGGTTGTACTTCATTTTTGGCGTATAATAATACCTATGCTAAAGAAGAACGGGTGCTGACATAGCTTAATTGTTCTACACTATATTGTCTTAAATAGACTCCTCTGAAAAGACAGAGCTTGAGGGGGAAGAACATTGAATGGGATGTAGAGAATACTAAGGTGGAAATGACAGTAGCCAGGTTCGGAAACGAAGTGTGCATCTTTCCCCATGTGCCTGCTTTCTGGCACTGCACACCCTTGTAAGCTCGAAAGCTCATTTTCTCATTAGGTTTTATTCCCAGAAAGGCAGAAAAGTTGAGCAGGTCTGGAGCAATAACTTGTGTGGTTAAGACAGCATTCCTAGAGCTTGACCAAATACCTTCCTTGTTTAACAAAGCTATATTCTGCACTGAGCAGCCACAGTTCAAGGGTTGCAAGGAGTGGCAAGTTGCAGGAGACCTCTCCCAGCCAGCCAGAGTACCAAAGCCAGCCGCCCACAGGGTGACACTACCGCCACAAACGTCATGCCCCGCGTTTCAAATTCACCTCTAACACCTATGAACTATCCAGAGGAAGCCTGGAATTTACCCAAAGCAATTCCACCCTGTCCCCAAACCAGCAAATGCTCACCTTTGAGAGCAGTTAGGTACTTGAAAACAAATACAATAGTTTTTCTTGATGGTGATAACACAATTTCCAAACAGCCAGTAGATGGCGTTGGAAGGCAGGAGCTTCACAGGAGACTTACCCAACAACCCAGATGAGAACCTGGAAGCCCACCAACTGTCTCAGACAGGCAGAGTGCTAATAATTTGGTTTTAATTGCTTTCCAATTTTTGAAGTAGAGATATTTCACATGAAACTGATATTTCCAGATTCCTTCGAAATACTGAAACATCTAGACACACTGGACTCTGTCAGGGTAAGCGACAGCTGGAATGGAGTGGTCGATGTCCTCTGACGGGGTCGCTTTGCCAGTGTCCCTCTACTTCGATCGTGGAGTTACTGCCTGGGCACTGAAGACACGTGACCTTGTCACCCCTACATTCAAGCTCAGCCCAGCTGCACACTTCATGTCATTGCCAAGTGCCTTTAAAAATTGCAAAGCGAGAGAAGCTAATGCAAAGGTTGTAGAATTTCACAGATGGCATGATTCAGAAGAGGATTTAAAGGAATTTGCGTTGGATGTGCGAGGAGCCTGGGCGTTGCCCTAAAGACAGCGGTCCTTGGAGATCAGCACATGAAGTGGCGTGATCTCTCCTTTCTGCCCTCGTGACTCAAGCCAGGGCTAGGGCAGGTCTCTCAAACCAGATGCCCTCTGTCTGTTCTCTGGTAGGCAGAGGGCAAGAGAAAATAGTTTTATTAGCCTTAATTAGTTGGTGGAAAAACATAGGGCTCATGTCAGTGATGTGCTGAAGGGAGAGAAGAGCTGCAATTCGAAGCCCTGTCTCACAGGCGCGGGAGGTTGACTCCACTGGCTACTGAGGACGCCATGGCTGCACCGCTGTCTCAGGCTCCTGGGAGTGTTCACTGCTTACATATGTTTAAATTGAGAGGTCTGTTTTTGTTTTTATTTTTATTTATTTTTTAAGAGAGATTTTTGCTATGGGGTGTGTGCACTTGCCAGAAAGACAGGAAGCAAGAAATTACTCCCCAAGAGGGATGACCCATGCCGCAATCCCTTCTCCTCCACTTCCTCTTGGGATTTTGGGCATATGTGCCCAGCGTGAGTTTCAAGCTGTCAGGTCCGAGACTCAAACCACGGTCGGTCATGTGGGAGGTCAGCGACGTAAGCTAGGCTCTGTTTTTTATGTTGTGTTTTGTTTTTTGAAACTACATTTATTTCTTCCCTAAGAGAGAGAGAAATAGAGAGAGAGACACACCCTCCCATCAGGGGCTTCTTGCCACAATCTCTAGCCTCAGCCAACCTGCCCGGCACACATAAGGTAGCAGGATGGGAAGCCAGGACTTTTCCCACGGGGGTCCGGCTGCACTGTTGCTGCACTACTCTCCGGACCCTAGATTACCAGCTTTGTGACACTGGGGAGGATGCCTGGGCAGCGTCTAAGTCAGCACCACCACCTCAGTGTCCGCCTGGTCACCAAAGGCAGGGAGGCTGACTCACGAAGCAAACATGATCTCATAAGGAGAGGTGCCAGTCAGCTCCTGTTACCCACCCGACAGAGAGCTGATTCTGCCTGGGCAGGATTATGAGATCTGTTGACCAAGATTTGTGACATGCAGGGTCATTTTCCCTCCTGTTTGGTTCCCATACAGTTCATATATTCCTTAATGATGGGAGAGGGTGAGGAAAATATGGAACACACAATGCAAATAAAGTAGATGTTTTTCTCAACAAATCATCATGATGGCTTTTTTCCCTTATGAATTAACATTCTATTCTAAACTCAGTTCAAAATACATCACAATTCCTTGCACCCCCCAAAAAGAAACTGGGCTGACTATCACACCTTTTCACCCGCTCATTGGGAGGACAAAGCAGCCTAAATTCTGGAAGCAGGTGGCCTTAGCCGGCTGCTAGAATGCTCTACAGGGCTCCTCTCCTTTTACTTCGCCTCCAAAAACAGATGCTGAATAGTTTCTTCGTGTATAAAAGCATGCACAGTGGGCCAGCCCACGGCATGGCGGTTAAGGCAGCTGGATCCCACAGGCCCCACTGTGAGGTCCGAGTCCCAGAGACACACGGGGTGCATGTGTGTGTGTGCCCAAAATCCCTAAAGGAGAAGTGGAGAGGTACTGTGGTATGACTCTGCCCCATGGGGGGCACATTCTTCCTCCTCCAGCCCCTAGGCCTGGGCGTGTCTTTCCTGCAGGGGTAAATGCCAGCTGGCAACATTTTTTTAAAGAAGAAAAAAAAAAAAAGCAAGCACAGTTTAGAGACTAGTTACAGGCTGACTGCGGTCACATGTGAGCAGAAGCTGGGCCTTTTCTGCTCTCTTCTCTGGGGCCTTCTTTAGCCCAGGACAGTGTGCTATAGAGAGCTCAGGGAAAGAAAGAGGGGTAGGGGTGTGGGAGAAGGCTGTTGAGGGCGGCTAAGGGAGCACGATCCGTGAAAGCCCGGTGTGTACCTGGAGCTGTCGCATCTGCTGCAGCTGGAGCCGGAGTTCAGCCACGTTCCGCCTCATGTCCCGCAGGCTCAGGTGCACAGCTGAGGTGCCAGCAGGCAGGGGCTGGCTGGGCGGCCCTGTGGACTCCAGGGCACTGAGAGTCTTCCCGCCAGAAATGTGGGGAGCACCTACGAGAACAAAGAGCAAAGTACCTAAGAATGTCCAGAAGGAGAGTCTAAGCTCTGAGCCCCACCCTATACAATTATTGGTGACTCTAAAAAATGCCCATTTCTGTCATTGTCAAACAGAACATAGACCATACAGTGTTCTAGGATGCTGTCTGAAAACCGTTCTGGAAGTTAGTGCTATAAGAACGCAGGGCAGCACATACAGCCTGACGCTGGGTGAAGGAAGCTGTCTATGCCCCTGCTACCTGCCAGTCTGTCCATCACCTGTCTGTATGTCACCTCTCCATCAATCCATCAGTCAGTCTCCCAAGAAGCTAACACCTGGGGCCGGCAGGTGGTGGAGTAGTTAAGGCTCCCACATAGGCCATCGCGGTCTAAGTCCCGGACCCGGTGGCTTGAAACTCATGTCAGGCTCAGGTGAATGTGTGCCCAAAATTCTGAGAGGAGAATGAAGGAGAAGGGATTGCAGCATGGACATTCCCTCTGGGGGATGATTTCTTACTTTCAGTCTCTCTGTCAAGCACATGCACCCTCCAGCAAAAATCTCTCAAAACAAAAAATAAAGAAAAAAAGCAGCAGCTCAGGCTGGCCCTATGGCACAGAGGTTAAAGGAACCAGATTCTGCATGGCCAACCATGGTTCAAATCCTGGCTCTGGTGGCTTGAAAAACATGCCAAGTGTGTCAGCAGGATGGAGAAATGAGGATGGGATTGTGGGTGACCATGTCCCATTGGGAGGTGACCATGTCCCATGATAACTCAAACACACTGTCTCTCTGGCAAGCACATGTGACCTCTGACAACTGAAAAAAAAAAAAGTGACTTTCTATATTCTCACCTAACTGCCTATCATCTATTTACCTCTGCCTATCATCTATTTATCACCTATCTATCTGCATATCTTCAATCATCTAGCCATCATCTGTTTTAGGTATCTTCTTAATCATACAGATTTCCACAGAGAAAAGTTAGTCTATATAATGAAGTGTTAACCCTCTTCAGCTTGTGGTAAGTCATATAGACTTTATATATATTTTAAAGATTTATTATGATTATTATTGTTATTAATTCAACTGAGAGAGATAGAGAGAAAGAGAGAGAGCGAGAGTGAAAGTGAGAAAGCGAGCTGCCAGGTCTGGGATGCACACCACGGTCAGTCATGTGGGAGTCTAGCACCTTAACCACCATGCCACCTGCTGGCCTCAAAGTTTTATATTTTTTTATTTCTAACAGGTTGCCAGAAAAGAACATACTTTTCTATGTTTTTCAAAGGTCATTTACTTATTAATATAGAAAGAACAAAGATCATTAGTTTTGTTCAATAACCTTTTGCCAGCTTTCAGTGAGCCTCATAATTCCTTGTTCATAGAAGGACCAGTCTTTATTGGTGAAAAACTGAATAAGGTGCTGATTTACAGCCTCACCTGAATTGAATGTTACACCACGTTAGGAATTTGAAGGGAGCGAAACAAGTGGATGTCTGATGGCACGAGGTCAGGCGAGTGTGGTGGGTGTGGGAACACAGACCAGCCAGCGCCAGTGATATTTGACAGAGGAGTAGACTTGCGTGTGATCTCGTTTTGTCATGATGGAACACGACTCTACAATCAACGAGCTCTGGACGTTTCCGGATGATGGATTTGTTCAAACTGTCCAGCTGCCCACAGTACACATTCACACCGACTGTTTGCTTCCTTGGTGGGAGCTCGCAAACACGCCACCTTTAAAAGCCCACATTGAGAGCATGAGCATCCTCTGATGAATGTCTGCTGTCAGTGTCATTTGGGGTTAATCATCATGTGGAGATCAAGACTGTTTGCACACCCCATTGTTGAAAGCAATCTACCTCTCATCACCAGAGAAGGATCATTTTCCTCACGCTTCATGAGCGTATCGCAGAGGTCATATGCGCCATCAAACGAACTTCTTTGAGTTAAAGAGGAGCCCAAGTATGGAGCTTGCTTACGTCTCCCAGCTTCTTCAGGTGGCTGTGAGTGCTTGCATGACGGATGCTCAATGTTTCTGCCATCTCCTGAGCTGTGTAACGTGGGTTTGATGGAATCAATGCTTTATTCTGTCATTCTCAACCTCAGTGGACCTCCCTGACTAAGGCGTGCCGTTGAGATCAAAATCAGCAGCCTGGGACTCTGAACCATCACTGGCACTGCCGTTCTTATAGAGCATTGTCACTATATACCATACACAACTTTTCACGAGCTTGATGTGTGTTTTTCCCTTTATGGAAGTAAAACAATAAAATATGGCCAAAATGCAGTTTGGTCTCCCATCTTCAGTTTGTTGTGAAATCTCGAAAACTCAACCAAATTGCTCGATTTTTTTTTTCCAGAACGAAGCTAGAACTGTCAGCTGTCAAATGGCACAGCAATAACAGATGCGAATGACTCTAGTACTTCTAAAAATGAACTAGTGCCATCCATTGCAAAAATGCACCATTGCTTTTCCAATAACCCCAATATTCTTTGTATTTTTAAATCTTCATAGTGACTACCTGTGATACTGTAACAGAAAAGGCACTCCTACAAGGCATGGACCTGGGCCAGCAGGTGATGTGGTACTTAAGGGAGCTGGATACCACATGGCCAAGGGTGTGGTTTGAGTCCCAGATGTGGTGGCTTGGAAAAACACACTGGGAGCCTGTGTGTGCATACCCAAAATCCCAAGAAGAGGATGGGAAAGGGATTGTAGTGTGGCCAATCTCCAATCCCCCTGGGGGTACTTTAGTTTCCCCTCCAGGACTACCTCATCTCTCTCTAGTGGGTACACATCTCTTTAGCAAACAAATAAACAAGAAGTCTAGGACCCACTAGAGAATGCTTTTGTGACTATTTTCTGCATGGCACAGACTTTACTTCTGGGTAGAGATCTGCCCGTCACCAGGAAATCTAAGGAGAAGTGGGGTGCACTCTTAATCTTTAGATTTTCTAAGCTGAAAGCAGCAGGACCTGTGTACACATCTCCTTAGGAAGAAGACAAGGCATGGCGTGAAATTTTTTCAGGAGTGAAATCAGAAAAAGCACCAGAAAGAAATTCCTAACTTGTTTTCTAGCTGCCATAAACTTTTAAAAAATAATTATTTATTTTATTTTGTTTATTATTATTTTAAAATCGGGTATAGGGCATGTGCACTCACCAGAAAAAGAGAGGGAGGGAGAGAGAGAAAAAGAAAGCAAGCCGCCCGGTCTGGGACTTGAACCTTGATTGGTCATGTTGGAATCTAGCACCTTAACCACCACACCACCTACTGGCACCAAGCTTCTACTCCTTGAGTTCAGCATAAATAATCCTCATGGATTTCATAAAGTCCATCAGAAAATGGCCTGATCTGAAGAAGTTTGCTTTCAAAATGACTCAAAAAGAACCCCAGGAGGGACCAGCAGATGGCATACTAGTTACGTCACTGGCCTCCTATGTAGTCTACCACAGTTTGAGCCCTGGACCTGATGACTTAAAACTCATGCCAGGACTGTGTGGGTCCATGTCCAAGATTCTGAGAGGAGAATAGAGGAGAAGGGATTGCAGTGTGGCCATCCCCCCTAGAGGGTGATTTCTTGCTTTCTGTCTCTCTAGCAAGCACATGTGCCCAATAGCAAAAATCTCTCTTTCTCTCTCTCTCAAAAAAAAAAAAAAAAAAAAGAACCTTGGGCAGGAATTATAAGCAAAGGGTAAGGTTTGTTTAAACCTGTTTCCTTTTTAGGAAAATGCAATTTTATGGGAACAGGCCCACATTACATGCACGCGTGCGCGCGCACACACACATACACACACACACACACACACTTACTCAGTTCTCTTTCCTATAAAGAGAAAAAGAGAAGCTTCGGGACAGGATGGGCTGGCATGACAGGACAGAACCCTGTTAGGTATCTTCACTTCCTGGAGCTGTCACAACTGGTGGCCCATCTTCCCTCTCGGCTCAACAACCAGCAGAGGATTTCCTTCCCCAGCAGGTACCAAGCAAAGTCTCTGCAGAACTGGTGCCATTGGCAGTGGTGACGTGCCAGTAAGGGAGCAGTCCCTGGCGTCCTCACACCTGGCCTCAGCAGTGCCAGCAGCGGACAGCACACCAAGCTCTCCTCCTTGGTGACTCGGACAGAGCTGCTGCCAGCCTGCTAAGGACCCCCGTGGGGATGTCAGGGCATCATAGAAGACGTTTTAAGGGATTCACAAAGAAACTCCAGCAGACCAGACAGTGAACTTGCAGGGAACTTAGGAACTCACATCATTACCTTTCATCCTGGTTCTGACCCACTTCCAGGTGTACCCACTCCTCAGGTCAAAATCACCCTCAAACAGCATGACTTGGCGCCTCTACAATGATTTTGGACCATTCTCCAACCGTGCAGGTCCTAAGTACAAGAACACCCTACAGCATTCCCACGAACCGCAGCTGTGGACGGAGCTCCGAGCCTTCAAGGCCAACTATTCTGAGGGGATCACAATGGACTGGCAGTTTTCCACACCCACATGTGGGGGGGTGGGGGCCACGGGTTTTCCCCATAGGCCTAGCCTGGTGAGAAGAGGCACTTCCACATACAGTTTGTCCTCAGAACCTTTTTGCTTTCTTGTACTTCACCTTTGGGTCAGTCGTATCTTTTTATTTATTTATGAGAGCTTTTGCTACAGAGTGGATGTGCTTCCTGGAGAGACGGAGAGACAGGGAGAGAGAAAGCGAGAAATAACACCCCCGCCCCTGCCTGCCAGGATCGTCAGAGCTACTGGCCACGTAGGAATCTCTTCTCCTCCATTTTCCTTTTCGATTCTGGGCACACATACACACATACCTGGTGCGAGTTTCAAGCTGCTGGATCTAGGACTCGAACTGAGGTCAGCCACATAGCAGTTCAGTACCTTAACCACTATGCCACCTGCCGGCCCTGGTCAGTTATATCTTAACACAAGTCTTATTAAGTGCACATTTGATGTGAATTTACTGTATCTTGTGATAGAAAGAACATGGTTCATGGGTTGGCTAGGCCGGCTGTCATTCTTACTAGCTGTGTGGCTTTGGATGAGTGACTCAAACTCTCTGAGCTTTATCTTCCTTCCATTTAAAATAAAGATAACACCATCTTCCTTATAGTGTTACGTGTGTTAAATAATATAATGCACAGTGTAAAACACACAGGCGTGCCTTTGGGATGGGAGGGTCCTTTTGTTCTCTTAATATTTATATTCAACTCCGTACATATTCCTGAAGTAACAGGAAGAGCAGTTTTCCTTTCTCGCGTTTATCCTTGGCCAGAGGAATTCCTTGACTTCTCTACAATCCTGTTTGTGTAGGGCTGACCCACTTCCAGGTGTACCCACTCCTCAGGTCAAAATCACCCTCAAACAGCATGACTTGGCGCCTCTACAATGATTTTGGACCATTCTCCAACCGTGCAGGTCCTAAGTACAAGAACACCCTACAGCATTCCCACGAACCGCAGCTGTGGACGGAGCTCCGAGCCTTCAAGGCCAACTATTCTGAGGGGATCACAATGGACTGGCAGTTTTCCACACCCACATGTGGGGGGGTGGGGGCCACGGGTTTTCCCCATAGGCCTAGCCTGGTGAGAAGAGGCACTTCCACATACAGTTTGTCCTCAGAACCTTTTTGCTTTCTTGTACTTCACCTTTGGGTCAGTCGTATCTTTTTATTTATTTATGAGAGCTTTTGCTACAGAGTGGATGTGCTTCCTGGAGAGACGGAGAGACAGGGAGAGAGAAAGCGAGAAATAACACCCCCGCCCCTGCCTGCCAGGATCGTCAGAGCTACTGGCCACGTAGGAATCTCTTCTCCTCCATTTTCCTTTTCGATTCTGGGCACACATACACACATACCTGGTGCGAGTTTCAAGCTGCTGGATCTAGGACTCGAACTGAGGTCAGCCACATAGCAGTTCAGTACCTTAACCACTATGCCACCTGCCGGCCCTGGTCAGTTATATCTTAACACAAGTCTTATTAAGTGCACATTTGATGTGAATTTACTGTATCTTGTGATAGAAAGAACATGGTTCATGGGTTGGCTAGGCCGGCTGTCATTCTTACTAGCTGTGTGGCTTTGGATGAGTGACTCAAACTCTCTGAGCTTTATCTTCCTTCCATTTAAAATAAAGATAACACCATCTTCCTTATAGTGTTACGTGTGTTAAATAATATAATGCACAGTGTAAAACACACAGGCGTGCCTTTGGGATGGGAGGGTCCTTTTGTTCTCTTAATATTTATATTCAACTCCGTACATATTCCTGAAGTAACAGGAAGAGCAGTTTTCCTTTCTCGCGTTTATCCTTGGCCAGAGGAATTCCTTGACTTCTCTACAATCCTGTTTGTACAGGGATAACACTTCCTGTCCTGTAGCTTACTTCCTAGGATGCCAAAACAATTCATATATCTTGTGTGCTTGTACAAGGTTGCTATGGTAACTAGGCCCCTGGGGACAATGTCTAGCCCTGCCCCATTAGAATGAGAAAGACCAAACTCAGCAGAGACTCTGGGAGCAGGTAATGTGCACTTTGCTGGGGGCCTCAAACCAGCTTAGCCTTTCAGAAGGGAAGGCTGGGAGCCTGTCGTCAGAGCTACTGAACTGTTTGTCCCTTTGGACTTACTGAATCCACTTTGGGATCTATATCTAGGAAATTATGCTTGTTCCTTGCTCCGTGCCAAAAAATAAGAGACAGTAATAAGCATTTTCAAAAACAATGAAATAATCAACGTAAATCTTTAAAGGGACAGGAATTTCTTAAAATGAAAGACTGAAATGAAATGACAGGGGTGCGAGCATGGTTGCGATGTGTCCTGCCTGTGGACGTGTGTTCAGTTTCCTCATCTGGAACGAAGGAATAAAATCCGCACCCATCTAGCCCCGGAGGAAGTGTTAGGAGTGGATGGAGAACACACCCAAAACACCCAGAACAGCCTGGCACACAAGAAGCAACTCCAAATGTCTATTATTACTATTCCACAAAAATGAAAAGGAACAGAAGGAGAACACGAAGAAGCACGTACGCATTGATTAGAACAATGGTGGTGGATACTAATCATTTTGACAATGGATTTCAGAGGGCTGGAAGGTTTTAGTATTCTGCAGTTTCCTAAGCTTACCATAAATAAGAAAAGAATGAGTGAATGATTATTTCTAAAATGAACTGGCAATTACTCTGAAGGCATGTTTAGCGATTTCTCTGAAATAATTGTCTGGCTTTGGCCAAGGCCACTGGCTGATTTCTAAGTAAAGCAGTACACCCATCAGGATCGGGATCACAGAAGAGGGGCCCGTTGGCTGTGCGGCTACACTGCGCTTGGCCTCTGAGCAGAACAGGATGGAAAGAGGCCTTCGCTTCCGTCCCCAAGTCTGTCCAGTCTACCACACCACACAAAACTGGACATGGGTTTTCCCCACAAAAGGGATTTCACTCGACTTGACACGTGCTTCCTGTGGAATTTATTAGAGCATCTGAACCTGTTTCCTGCTTCTGATTTCTATTTCTAACTAGATGGGAGGGGACACTTCACCTGGAGAGACGCCTGCCCTGGACCTGCAGATGAGATGTGCGTCAAATAGGCAGGATCTTCGAAAAGGTCAAGGCAAATGCATATTATAAAAAAACTATGCATGGGCTCAAAAAAAAATTTTTTTTGCACTAAAGTCAATTTATATTTTAGTTCTACTTTCCATGATCATTTTTTGGTTCGTTTGTTTGCTGTAGGGCATGTATGCTCCCTAGGGACAGAAAGAATGAGAAAGAGGGAGGAAGAAAGAGAGATAACACCCCACCCCACCCTAGGAGGGGGATGGCCATGCTGCAATCCCCTCTCCTCCATTCTCCTCCTGGGACCTTTGGCACACAGACACACATGCCCAGCATATTCTTCAAGCTGCCAGGTCTGGTACGCCCAACTGTGAAGTTGGCCAGGTGGGATTCAACCTCTTAACTCCCCCTTCTCTCGGTGCATCTACTGCAGCAGGCTGATGTCCCTCGCAGAACCTTGCAGTGGCTGCAATGGGCACTTAGAACATCGGAATTCCCTCCACCTGGGCAGCTCTTCACCTTCACCCTGCCCTGAGTCCTACTCGTCCGGCAAGCCTCAGTTTGTGCCTGCCCTTCCTCAGGGTAGGCCAGCCCTGTGTAAACGATTTTCTTGCATGTCTCAACACTCAACACATGTAAAATTGCGTGTCGCATATCCACCTTAGCCACAAGTGGCTAAGTCTGGGCAGGCAGTCCCGTATCAGAATGACAGCCTCCATCCCCGCCGTCCGTGCCCAGCACCCAGCATGTGTTTCTTAGGTGTGTGGCCATACGGATGAACAGTAATGTGTGAATGAGTGAGAGAGTGAGTGAACAGCGCTGAGGTGAGATGAGTGCCTGCTTCCTGAGTGAGTGACTCAATCTGGAACTTCGGCATTAGCATGGAAAGTGTGAGAGGGTGAGGACTTATCTGGGAAGCCTCTGAACTCCCAAGGAGTAAGTGACTGAGGGAAGGGCTAAATACTTCTGAAACAGCACGGAGGAGGGGGGCAGAGGAGGGTGCCTGAAGGCCTTCTGGAGCTCAGAGGTCACGTACGTACCTGCACCGTCAGTGTGGCTTCTGCTGGCTGTGGTTTTCATCATTTTCTCGCTGATAAAAGAAAGAGAGAGTCGGCTGTAAGTTTTCAAAATGCCCTTTTCTGTCTTTCGTTTTTGCCCCTTCCATTAACAACGCTAAGCAACTGGCAGTGATGGGAGTAAGCAATGAGGTATCTGAGCACCAGCACCATGCTTGGCCAGGATGGACAGGGCTTCCCGGGTGTGCAGCCGGTGCTGGGGTGCAGCTGGGCACACTTGTGACTTTCAGATGATGGCGGACATGGACACGCGTGGATGGTGGTGGCAGGCACTGCGCAGTGAGTGGTCCATGAAGCCACATGCACCGGGAAGCCTGTTTACCCTTCTTGGGCCAAAGTGTTACTTTTGACCAAGAATTACAGAAGGACAACAAAACAAGAGAAAACAAACACCCCCTCCCCTTGCCATGATTCATAGAGATATGCGTATTTTCAGCCTTGAGATGATTACAAGGAAACAGATTTGGATGAATGAGTTCTCTTAATGATTAAAGAGAAACAGACTGAATTATTTCCTCATTGGTTTGCTTTCTTCTGTTTACCTAGATGCATCTTTGCTACTACTTGTAATGGGCCCTTTAAAAAGCGCAGACTGAACAAGGCCAGTTAAACTGGCAATCTGTTTCTCCATGGCTTGCATCCTCTCTCTGTAAAACAAGAGAATGGTTTGTTAAAGCTCTATTGACTTTCAGACTGGTTTTCAAAGGGGAATGATCTGCCCGAGGGTTATAAAAGGTACCATCCAGTAGTCCGCCAACGTCACCCCAACCTGGCCCAGGACGTGAAGAGCCTGCAAATCCCCAGCTGAGATCAGGACCCAGTGCCCAGAGTTTAATATGAAGCCTGCAATGTCACTGACATGACACTGGGTAGATCTGCTGGGGCCTGCTAGAAAACTGCAAAGGCATCTCCCTGAGAAATACTTCTTTTTGGGTGTCGTGCTTTTCAGCCTTTCTGCCCTGCTTTCATAATCTCACCTGCCCAAAGAGCTCCTTCTAGGACTTGCGTGCTGCCGACTGGCTTTGTTATGAACGATGGAGATGCTGAATGTTGAATGTGCAGTAACACTTGCCCCAGGCCCCCCAAACTGGTGTCTTTCTCTCTCTCTCTCTCTCTTTTTTTTTGGGGGGGGGGTTTGCTTAGGGCGTATGTACCCGCCAGAGAGACAGAGAGAGAGAAAGCAAGAAATCATTCACTGGGGGTGGAGGGACGGTCATGCCATAATCCCTTCTCTTCCATTCTCCTCCTTGGATCTTGGGCACACATGCACACGTGCCCAGCTTGAGTTTTAAGCCGCAGGATCTGGGACTCGAACCGTAGTTAGCCATGTGGGAGTCCAGTGTCTTAACCACTATCCCACCTGCTGGACCCTGGTGTCTCTTCTTAAGATCATGGAAAACTGTGATCAGAAGCAGTGTTTGGGCATAGACGATGTTCAATCGAATGTTGTAGGAAATTCAGCCTGGAAGCTCTCATAGGATCAAGCAGGAAACATCCTGAACAAGCTGGTCATCTCAAGACAGTAATGAAAAGTTCTCCTAAGTATTGACTTTGTGCAGATACCGTACACCTCTCTCTGTAGGTCTCTCTGATGCTACATTATGGTTCATGTGGCATTTGAAATAGGCTCATGGGACCAGCAGATGGCATAATGGTTACGTCGCTGGACTCCCACGTAGTCAACTGCCATTCAAATCCCGGACCCTGTGGCTTAAAACTCACACTTGTGTGCATGTGCGTGTATGCCCCAAATCGCAAGAAGATGAAGGAGAAGGGACTGTGGCATGGCTGTCCCCCCAAGAGATGATTTCTCGCTTTCTGTCTCTGTCTCTCTCTAGGGAGTGCACATGCCCTATAGCAAAAATCTCTCAAAAACAAACAAAAAGGAAATCTACTCATATTTCTGGGCCTCAAACAATGGACACTTCAGAGACCATCAAATATTTTCAACATATTATTAAAACCACAGCACAGCAACCAAGTGAAGAAGGGCATCGCACACGTCACCTCGTGGGAGTTTGGCCGCGTGTCCTTTGGGCGGTAATCCCCTCTTAACCACAGGTGCCTGGAACCACAGATAGTACCAAACCCTTATAGATTGTTTTTCTCTATACATCCATAAGTGTAATTTGTAAATTATGCGCAGTAAGAGACTGACAAATTAACAGGAAGAAACAACAAGATAAGTATACTGTAACAAAAGTTCTAGGGATGTGGACTCTTTCTCAAATATCTTCTTGTACTGTACTCATCTGTTTTCAGACCAAGGTTCACCATAGAGAATGAAAACTGGACAATAAAATAATGGATGAGGGGCAGAGCGACTACTGTTGTTAGAAACAGTGAAAAAAAAGAGAGGGGAGAACAGTTTGCTGTGGGGACCTGTCCTGCCACTGTATCTCGGGGCAGGTGTCCTAGCAGGAGCTTGAGACACCAGAAGGAACCTCAGGCCTCACTGAGGGGCTCCGTCCTGCGGGCCTCCAGTGGTGTGAGTGACGGTGAGTTCTGGGCTACGTGCCACGTGTTCATACACCATGGCTCTTAAATGCAAGCCAACCACTTTATCAGGTACTCAGTGGAGGGACAGGCCATCTGTCCTATCACCAGAAACAAAACAAAACAGCTGGCGACGCTGGGCTTCTTGAAAACTGGAATATCTATTTCCTGAACTTCACGGCCATCAGGAGGATTTTTAAGGGGAACTTTGTCCACACTTTGTGCCTTGAGTCTGGCTGCTGGACTATAAGCAGGGGCGGCATGTGAAGCGCTGAGCTTAGTTTTCAATGACAAGCTTCTGACTTCAGAATTCTATGTCTTTTCTGGGACCAGCAGTTAGCGTAATGGCTATGTCGCTGGACTCCCACGTAGTCGACCGCGGTTCGCGTCCCGGACCCAGTGGCTTAAAACTCACGCCGGGTGCGTGTGCGTGAGTGCCCAAGATCCCAAGAGGAGAATGGAGGAGAAGGGATTGCGGCGTGGCCATCCCCCCTGGGCGGTGATTTCTCCCTTTCTGTCTCTCTGTCTCTCTCTGTCTGGTGAGCACATGCACCCTATAGCAAAAACCTCTCCCCAAAAAACGAATTCTATGCCTTTACTATAGTTTAAACTGGATACATTTGTCACAATACGCCACTTCTTTTTTTGGGGGGGAGAGATTTTTGCTATAGGGTGCGTGCGCTCGCCAGACAGACAGAGAGAGACATAGAGACAGAAAGCGAGAAATCACCCCCCAGGGGAGATGGTCACACCGCAATCCCTTCTCCTCCATTCTCCTCTCGGGATCTTGGGCACGCACACATGCACACGCGCCCGACGTGAGTTTTAAGCCACCGGGTCCGGGACGTGAACCGCGGTCGACTATGTGGGAGTCCAGCAACACAGCCATTACGCTAACTGCTGGTTCCCAATACGCCGCTTCTTGAATACGGTCATGCAGTCAGGATGGTTCATGATCGCACATCCGAACAAAGTGAGTATTATGAGTATCATCTCTGAGAGGGCCAACAAGGAATCTCAGATGGTGAGCGAGGAAACGCACCTCCACAGAGAAACTTTGCAAATGTGCCTAGACACACCAGTGGGTGCCAAATGTGAGCTGAAGAGCATTTCAGGCATACCAGTGTTCGTGGCTTCCTCTGTGCCATAAGCCAGTCCATGTGTCAAACAGAAAAATCAGTAAGAAATTCAAATGAAGAAAGCAGGTTAGTAAATACCCACTGGAAATTCCACATTCATTGGTCCCAGTTGCAATGGCATATGTGAAATGACAGGGTGGGAGTTGATCATGCCGCCCAGCATGGGAGACACAGACCACACAAACTCTTGGAAATGAATGAGAACCGCTCGGTACCAGGTGACATCTGTGCAGCCCCTCGTTCATCCCACAGGAGGTGCCATCCATGACAGTGCTAGAGTCGAACTCACGACCCTGAGTGGAGTTGGATTTAGAGCTACCTTGAGATGTACTAGTTCACTGCTCTTGTTCGATCTTCGGCAAATGCAAAGGATATTGCTTCCAAAGAAAAATAAAAGTGGGGGCCAGTCTTGCAGTGTAGTGTTTCAGGGAGCCCAGCCCACCACAGTTCAAGTCCCAGCCATGGAGGCTTGAAAAACGTGCAGGGTCCACACCCTGACACCATGGAGAGAGAGGAGCAGGAGTGAGTGGCCTGACCATGCCCCATCAGGAGGAACTTTCTCCCCATCTCCTCTCTCTCTCTCTTTGGTGTGTCCCTGTGCCTTCTGGCAATTACTAAAAGTGCCCTACATTTGTGGGATCTAGAAGCTTAGGTGAGGAGATGGCCTGAAGCATTCTGTGGGGTTGGAGTGTGTAACAGGATGGCAGGGTGGCTACCTGAGTACACCAGAGGATGAAATACTAAGAAATGCCAACGTCAAGGACGTCCATGACTGCAGAGCACAAAGGCGCATGTGCGGAGAGGGAAATAACAGTGAGTTCTGGCATCCCAGGGCCAGCAGGGCACAGGCTGGTCAGGGCTAAGCCAGGGTCCTTTCTGATCGTCGGTCCACTGTGTCCATTACCTTGTCCAGCTAAGGAGGGCAGCAGCGTTAAAAACCAAATGAAGCCCCTGCATCACTCCAGGTCAAGAAGACTGTCCTTCAGCTGATCCTCACGGTTAGACCGGTGCAGTGTCAGGGCATAGGCCAGGTCACCTCCACATGGAGTCCACCGGCATTGCACATGTCAGAGGCATTAGCTTCATCTTAGAGGGTGCTTGGCTTCTGCCCTGTGCTTACCCCAGCTAACGGCTACAGGATGTAAAGACAGCCCCCACACAGCTTCCCCCTCTCCAGCCCAGGTACTCCCACGCTAAGCTCTCCTTTGTGGAGCTGTGAGAAATGGAGTGAGTGCTTCCAGTGGCCTCTCTTTGGTTATCGGCTGGGTGACCGGGAAGGAGACATGTTGTGTCAGAGATATGGAGTCAGGAAGCTGCTCCCTGGACACCCTCCGGGAGAGTTCAGGCTCTTAAGCATGACGGTAGAAGGGGAGCGATTC